TCTTTATTTTTACTATTTGTGGTTTGTGTGTTTACTGTTATTTTGGTTTTCATATCTCTATATTCGTTCAATTTGGAGCCATTTTCATGTTAATCATTCTCTCTAGACTTAAAATTTGAACCTCGTTATGAACTGCAAACAACTTAAAGTTAACTTTCAAGTAGACAATTTATGATAAACATAAATGGGTTGTTGATCTATTATACCCCTACTTAAAATCTGTACATTAAGAAACTTCATTTTTCATGTTCATTTTGTCGAATCTTTCGACAAAGAAGGCAGCTTTACTTTAATTAATAAAGTGATTGTGGACAATTGAGTAAGGTGTATTAATGATATTAATGGTAATGGATAACACATGCCACTAAACAAGCGGAGAAATTGTATATATTTTAGACCAAGTGGGTTTGCCTTCTGCATAAATCTCGACAAGTTGAAGTGTCCATTGCAGATCTTGAGACGTTTTCTGTCTCGCAATCAAGGGAAATCTAGTCAATATCTAATGGGAACTTGGATTAAAGAAAGAAAGACGTAAATTTTTGTTTTCTATATCTAATGAGACAAGGCGGAATAAAATACGAATATCTGGAGGCGTAGTTGTAGAAAACACGCATGAAAAATTTATGAACAAAAATAGTTTGACAAACGCCTCTCACAAACTGCACACGTGGCACTGAGTTGGTAGTTTATCACAACGGTTGCAGAATAATTTCGACTATATCTAAAAAATGATCGTTTCTTCATAGGGAATGACTATTATGAAATAGGAACAACCGTTCTTTGGACAAGGAATAGTCGTTCCTTGGATGGAACAATTGTTCCTTGGATGAGGAATGTTCGTTCTTGGTTGAGGAACAACAATTGTAATGTGAGATGGAATGCCCATCCCTGTTCCATAAGATGGAATGGGTGTTATGGAACGGGGGTTCCATATAAAACACCTGTTCCATCTTATGGCAACGAGCGTTTTTTATGAATGGAATAACCGTTCCTTATGAATGAACGACTGTTCCTCCCTATCAAAGTTGTTTTTGTCAGCATAGTATTACCCAAAATTTATATGAGACTGATTCACTATTTCATCATGATTATGTGGTGAGACTATCAAATAAAATAAACCCACATGTAACCACTTGACAAATAAACTAATACTTTTAATTTGATTCAATCTTAATTATATTTATCTATTTTAATAAATTATCACTTAATTCATATATTCATTCAATCTCCACCGCCTAGTTTACCGTTTTCTGTGATTAATATGTTCATCAATCCGCATTCCATATCAGTTTATCCTCCTTGTCGTAGTTTCCGCTCGTAGCTTTTCGTCAAGTCGTCTGTTCGTTAGCTCCTCCAAGCATGTATTTTAACTCTTGACACAAAACTCAATCAACCAGATCTCTTCTAGCGTTTCCTCTTTTCCAGTAAATTTATTTATTTTTAAACCCAATCAATTTGCTAAATTGTAACAAAAGAAGTCTGACATTTGAAAATTTGATTACATAGCAGTAATCTTATGTGAAAAAGAAAGAGAATAATGCAGAGGAAGATGCATTGTCCTTTGTTCTGGTTGTTTGGGCATATTATAATTTTTTTAATGTTCTTTTGTGTTTAAATTTATGAATGGAGGATAGATTTGTGTTTTGCTCGCGTATTGGGATTAAAACAGGAACTACAACTTGGTGTTTTATAATGGAAGTCGGAAGATAGAGCCGTTGGATCAACGGCTGTGTCTCCCTTTTCTTTTGCTTTTAAATGATTTTCTTATGTGATTCTTGCATTTACCATTATTCTGATGTTCTTCAATTAAAGTTTTTACTATATTTAATAATTTAAAAAATACAATATATATGTATTATTATACTGTCAGCACATGTGAACATTAAGGCTAAAAAGTTTAATCAAGCAACTCATCGTATTATTAAATTCTATTTTGTTGTGCAATGATGTGCGATTAGCTTGGAGCAAGCGGTAACTTGAAGCGAGTTTTAGCTTGGCGGGAGCTGTCACCAGGAGCGAGCTATAGCTCGAGGTGAATTGTGAAGCAACCAGCAGACTGAAGCGAGCTTTTGGGTAGTTATCTTCTAAATCAGGGATAAGTCTTATCCCCATGGATAAGCGTTATCTCTTAAAATCAAGGAGAGGATCATGAAAATACTCCCTATAATTTTGGTCTAACAACTAGGTTGGTGATCATGGGATTATCCCTTGAAAATCAAGGTATTATCTCGAAATTTACTATTATAACCGTTATCTTTTCATAGTATATAAATCCCTGAAAATCATTGTAAAGGGGTTGGGGAAAAATTAAGAGAAAAAGATCATTATTATTAGGCTAACACAAGCAATTCCATTGTATTAGTCTCTAAGAGCTTTTGGATAAAATAACAGTAGACATAGGCATCATTCAAACTTGCTAAACGACTTTAAAAATCTTCTTTGATTCTTGTTTATTTTAGTTTAACCTTTACTTGTTGATTTTAATTAATGATGCACATATCCTATCCAATTCCTTTAAAGTCAATTGGGTATCACAAGTTGTTACGGATTTTCATGACAACATATTTAATTAAATTTAAACATCAATGTCTAATTTATTAAAATTAATCAACTGTTCATGAATATTATATAAAACTATCCATGAGTATGGATAACCAAATGGCCCTAGAGCGCCCTGTGGGCCTTCTTGATATTTGGTCCAGGGGAGAGCGCAAAATATCGAGGACAGGGTTTGTCCCCGAATTTATTTGAACTCGTCACCAAACCTGGCCCCGAAATATCAGTAAAAGAATAAATAAGTTAAAAAAATGAAAAACATTTATGTTAATTATAATGGAAAATATGGGAATATTCATTAACCAATCAACCTTTTCTGCAAAATTGCAGCAAGAAAAAAAATGAAGAGCAGAACATTGTAAGGAACCAACACTTTCATTTTTATTATCTACTAACAAACACAACTTATTCTTCCCGCCCTGCGTCAAGATAAACGAGCCTGCGGTGTGCGCTTATTCGTGCTGACTAATTGTAACTATTGGGACGGTAAGTGTTGTCGTCTTCTGGGTCGGTTCTTCTGCATCGTGCACTCACGCTAACTAGCAAGAGCTGGCTTTTGTCTAGGCGAATGGTTTCACGGTGGCCTGTCTACCTCGCCGCTGGTTCATTCCTGGGCTTCCTGCTGGGAGAGTTCTGCCTGTGGGCTTCTCGCTTTTGCATTTCTCTCCTGGTTCGCACCTGGGGGCATTGTACGCTTTCCGCCCTTGAGGAGGTGGATTTGGAGCTCACGGTTTCGAGTTTCCAACTCTGTGTTGGTTGGCTTTGAGCGTTCATGTGCGAATGGGGTCCCGGTTGTGTTTTCCTCATCCTTGGTGCGTTTAGTTGCAAAGCTTGTATCGCGTTAGTTAACGATTTTAGCGTGTCCATCATCTAGACGTTGCTGGGGTTGGAAGTACCCGTTCCTGGTGGGTTTGTTGCCTAGGTAACTGGTGAGGGCAGAGTCATCGTCGGGCGACTGGTCTGAGGCCCCTGATGAGCCTCTTGGTTGTTGGCTTCCTAGGGCCGACCACCTGGCTTCTGGAAGTTCTGGTGAGAACCATTTTTCCTTTTTGCGAAGCTTGTAGCTGGCGTATGCGTGGAGATATTCTCCCTCTGCAAAGTTTGTTCCAAGGGAGAGACCCTTCTTCTAGCGTCAAAATGTTGATGCGATAAATCGTATCAATCAGAAATATTCGATCGACCTTAAAAGGGACTAGACAAGATTTACGTGTGGTTACGGATAACCAGCAAGGTTGTTAAAACAACGTAATAAAGTAAAGAACAAAAGAGATTTTATAGTGGTTCGACGGTTATAAGAACTAAACCTACATCCACTATCGTATTATTATTGCGAGGTGATACAAGGTTGAATGAGGTTACAAAAGGGAAAGTCCACAAGTGTGAACCAATGACATTTAGTCCTCGCAGCCTAACCACTCTTAACTCTCTCTAAAAGGTCAGTGTATTTTCCTCTTGAACTTTATTAATGCTGGAATTGTCCCTTGAAGCGAAGGTTGTAGGCTCCTTTTATACCTATCTTGTCTGACAGTGAATGAGAGTAGGTGTTACGGGGTTTCTTGTACGTATAATCTTCCATAACGAGGATCTAGATCAATAATCCTCATGCTTGTTGTAGACCAAACCATGCTAATGACAGCTTTAACTTATATTTAATTATGACAGTAACCACCTTGTAAAGGAAGATGACATGTGGGAGGATCCTAGCCATTGGGTTTCCACGTACTTTAGGGACATGCGGCAAAAATCTAACCATCTGGGAACTAGGCATAACACAACAATTTTGGATGATTAAATTCAGCATTTGAAGTCAGTATTCTTTTTATATTATAACTTTTTTATTTTTTTTGTGTGTGTTTAATTCATGAATGGAGGATAGATTTGTGTTCTGCTCGAGTATTGAGATTAAAACAGGAACTACAAGTTGGTGTTTTATAATGGAAAATAAAGCCGTTGGACCAACGGCCGTGTCTCCCTTTTCTTTTACTTTTAAATGATTTTCTTGTGTGATTCTTGCATTAATTACCATTATTTCGATGTTCTTCAATTGAAGTATATTTAATGATTTAAAAATACTGGATCTGTAATTAATTTAATATATACGTAATATTATGCTGTCAGCACATGTGAACATTCAGGCTAAAACTTGATTGTATTATTAATTCTATTTAATTAAATTTAAACATCAATTTGTAATTTAGCAGCTGTTCACAAATATTATATAAAGCTATCCGTGAGTATGCAAAGCAAAACGGCCCCAGAGCACCCTGTGGGCCTTCTTAATATTTGGGTCAGGGAAGATGCACAAAATATGGGGGACAGGGTTTGTCCCCGAATTTATTAGGACTCGGCCCCTACCCTAACCCCGAAATTTGTATCAATAAAAGAATAATAAAAAAATAAAAAAACATTTATGTTAATTATAATGAAAAATAAGGGAATATAGATTAACCAATCACCCTTTTCTGTAAAATTGAAGCAAGAACAAAAAGGAAGAGAAGAGCATTGTAAGGGAAAGCTTTCATAAACCAACGCTTTTATTTTTTTGATCTACTAACAAACACAACTTTCTGTGGCGACTCGAATTCCACAGTTGCCTTATTATAATGAGTCTCCAATCGTTTCCAGCAGAAACAAAAGCTACAACAAACGAGAAAAACACAAATGTATTTACTTGTTGGGTACCTTAATGTAACCAAAATGTGTTGAGTTTGAGACTTTAGTTAGAGTCTTCAATTCATAAGCAATCCAGCATCTTGATGTCTCCTGGTTGTAAAAATACCCCAAACACTTACAATCTTTTGTACAATTTTTCCCACATTCATCTACTTTGATTGGTCCAGTTCCTGAATTATACTTGCTCAAGAAATGATCCACTCCTTCAACCTTATAATAATGAAAATCATTCACCCCACAAGATGTTAACTTCTTAGCTTCACACTGCTGGCTCCACCCCAGCAGGCCTTTCTCTGATGGGCAAGCAACGCATTGATACTCATCACACACCCCAAAATTGCCGCACCTCTCCGGCAATTGGCACTCATTTTCCCAAATTGAATCTCTGGAGAAGAGAGTGAAAGTCTCCTCCCATGCCCCCCAATCAACCTTATCGTAGTAAGTGAAAATCCTGACATTTCCGTCTACTCCTAGTCGGAGAATTGACAACGTGCCGTTGTATTTTGGCCTACCCAAAATAAGATTGCCGCCAGTTGAGAGCTCTAGAGTTAGTTCATAAGCAGAACCGTCATCATTCTCTGGGGCGGAATTGAATTTCACAGACTCAAGAGAGCCCTGACTATTCCATAGTTCTGGCGCGGAGTACACAACAGGGCGTGGGGAGTTTTTGATCTGATAATACAACGCCAATCGTTTCGACTCCAATACAAAACTATAAGGCCCATCTTTGTTTTCTTTATCGGATGCTCGGCTCACGAGCTTTGTTACTCCTCCAACGCGGAGAGATTGACCCACCAAGAGAGTATCAGTTGGCTGGTCGAAACTTTGCCAAATGAAATTGCCCTTTGAGTCGTGAAGCACGATGTTGCCATTTGACAGTAGCTTGAATCCAACAACGCCCTTGTTGGCAGTGTTTGTTTGCCAGGCTATGGTGCCATCAGCATCGGCCAAGACAAGATTTCCATTAGTTCCAAACGTGAGGGTGGCGTTTTCACGAACCGGTTTGCCTCTGTTGGCTTCCCAAACCCAACGGAAGAGTGATTCTGATCGAGTGGTGGCCATGCGTAGAGCAAGAGTGTAAGCATTTGGGGTGGTGTTATAGAAGCAAAGTTGGAAAGGAGAATTGGACACACTTAGGACTCTGTAATTCCCATCATACTCAACAATGTATTCTCCAAATTCACCTTCGTTGACAAATTGAAATGTGGCTGAGGGAGGAACAGAAGCTTTAACAATGGAGAAAATGAGTGATAAGAAGAAGAAGGAGAACAATGCAGATGAAGATGACATTTTGCTCGATGTTGTGGATCGAGTTGAGTCTTCAGGTTCTATTTATAGTAACCAAGGTGACATGATCTAACATTGAATACTATTTTATTCTTCTATACATGCATCTTCCAATCAACTTGACAGCTACGTTTTGGAATTTTATATGTTTATGTAATTTTCAACTAGAATTTGTGATTCAATCGTTATCTAATTAATGGTACACAGTATTAGAAAGGTCATTTTCTTTACCGTGTAAAAAAATCTGTAGGGTTGAATATATAACAGATTTTGACTTTATTAACATATAGATTAGGCTTAATTCTTTTTATAATCTTACAAACTGTCATCTTTACACCAATATAATCTGCTTTAGAGCCATTTTCATGTTTAATCATTCTCTCTAGACTTAAAATTTGAAGTTTTGAACCTCGTTTCTGAACTGCAAACAACTTGACGTTAACTTTCGCGTATAAATGGATTATTGGTCTATTATATCTGTACTTAAAATTTGTACATTAAGAAACTTTTCATTTTTCATGTTCTTTTTGTCGTATCTTTTAACAAAGGAGGCGGCGAGATTGTGAATTCTATATAGTGCTGATAATGGATAAGACATCCCACTGAGCAAGCAGAGAAATTGTATATATTTTAAGCCAATTTGCCAGAGAAGGATCGGTGGGTTCGCCTACTTATGATAATGCACTAATGCTCATAAATCTTGACAAGTTGAAGTGTGCATTACAGCTCTTGAGACGTACTTTTTTTCTTTCTGAATCCGGCGGTCAAGGGAAATCTGGTCAATATTGATGGGAATGTGAGGAATTAAGAAGGTGCCACGCCAACTCAATAGTTCTTTTTTGGTGGCTTTGACCGATCCATTCATAAATGCATTACAGTAAAGATGATAGAGAAAGAGGTAATAATAAATTAATATATCTTTCTTGTGTTTTTGTCCTCTAGAATCTAAGATCCGATAAGGCAATGCGGAATAAAATAACAAACGGATTTCAACTGGACATGTTATGCGGCTGATAGAAGACTATACATCAAAGTTGAAAAAATTGTTTAATTAGACCATTTCTTTCCTGTCTTGATATATATTTAGGCACGCATCCTGAGATCTAGTTAAGAATATTTAAATCAATTGCTTCAATGTAAGAAAAACTTGCTAAAACAAGCAAAATATCAGATTTAATATTATTACCGAACGAGCTATAATGACTAAGAAATTACCGTGTTTGACATATTTTGGCTATAAAATTATTGTGTTTGATATTTGAATCCTACAGTATTTGAAATATTATATTTGGCGAGAATGTCATAGATTACCCCTAAAATTTTCGAATTTATCATTCAAATGATAAGTTTTTAAACTTTGAAGGTTTATAAAATAAAGCCAAGGGTCATTAATATAAGGTGTTTGACATATATTATGGCTATGAATCCTACCATGTTTGACATATTATGCCTAATGTCTTAGGTTGGGAGTTTCACACCGAAAAAATTAACTTATTAGGTGGAGGGACTCCTCCCTTTATAAGCCCAAGACCTCCTCTCTAATAAGCTTCTGATATGAGATTCAGTTACATTCTCTCTCACCCAAAGCCTAAGACCTCCTCCCCATTGCGCTTCCGATATGGGATTCGGTTACATTCTCCCCCACCCAATATTGTGATGCCCTCGTCACAGGTGGGTCCCCTGTCTACCCGTCCACCTCACTTTCGTGTAAACCCACAATCACATTTAGACGCCCTTATGTGGACGCTTGACAAGACTTCAAAAGACAGGTTGAGTCCGCCCTAATAACACTTGTCACAGGTTGAAAGTTTTACATCCAAAAGACTAACCTATTAAATGGGTGGACTCCCTCACTTTATAAGCTCAAGACCTCCCCAATATGCTTTCAATGGGGATTCCATTACACTTAGCTGTTTGTGAGAAATGTTATTCAAATGTCTCAAATATTTGCTTTTCATTATTTACATTTATATGGTCAACTTTAATTCAACTGAACAAGTAAAAGTATGTCGTACATGGAGTTCGTAATGGAGTTGAAAAGATTAGTTGGAAGCAAATTTTAGATATGTAAAACGAGGAAGCTGCCGCACAGACAAAATTGTAGGTTATTGATCAATAATTGAATCGATTAACTCTTAACCATAATCAACATTAATATTGTGATGAAAGAGTAATTATACATTAATTACGTTCTAAACACATTTTAAGAATAACAGCCTTACTCATGCTATAAATATGCAGCAACTCAAACAACTGGATAGGATTATGGATCAAGTGGACATCTTTAATTCCCCGAAAACGCCAAGGCGGCTACGTCAGGATATTTTTTCTTCATCAGTTCTCATCCACTTGAGTCAACTCATTCATATCAGGCCGGCTACATCAGGATATTTTCTCACACCATATTTTTGCATTGTGATGATTCATCGGTTTTGTCAGAGGCTGGAAACAATACTAATTCTATAAAACAGACTGAAAATTTTATTCATTAAGATTGAATACAACGCTAACTAAAACAATGTCTATACCTTTTTCACATTTTCATTCCTGGTGCATACATTATTTGCATAATTTGCATTCATTTTGTCAGAAAACAGAGTGTATATGGTGTCCCCAGCACATTATTTGTATTTAGTGGAGTAAACGACTTTTTTCCACCCAAGATTTGTCTTAATGACCCTTTCTCACTAAAAACATTTTAAAATACCTCTTTTTCACCCAAAGTTAATGTTTTGTTTACTATCTAAAGCAGATTTCGACTACAAAAATTCTCTTTGTCTCTATCATTTGAACCTTTGGTCTCCTCTATATAAAACCGCTCTCACTCTGGCACCTGATTTCTCATTGATTGCCGACCACCGCAAAGCTAGAATTTCCTTTTCTTAGCCGATTTTCAACTGATTCTGACGGTTGAATATTTAACCGGTAATTACCATTTAATCTACTGGCCTCCACTATACAAAACCCCTCTTACCCTAACTCCTGGTAACTTGCTGAATGCCAATTGAGAAAGTGAAGTATAGTTTGGGTATTAACGGAATATAAACTTTGGGTGGAAAGTGGTATTTTGAAACTTTTTGGGTAGGAAAGTGTCATTAAGGCAAACCTTGGGTGGAAAAAAGTTTTTACTCTATTTAGTGCCTCATTTTATCATAAAATAGTGCATATGGTCCCAAATGCTTAATTGTTTATTGCTGATCTGCCTTTCTTGACTTCTCAACGCTCCCAAAAGAGAAAATCTAGAATTATAAATACCCCAACAAACCACCAATTGTTAAAGCTCAAATGGCTTCTCACAAAGCATTGATTTCACTCCATTTGTTCACATTCACTCTTCTTTACCTTGCCTTTACCACTCTATCCCAAGTCCCTAAAAACCAGACCTTCAAATTCATCAACCAAGGTGATTTCGGAGACCGAATAATCGAATACGATGCTAGCTACCGTGTTATCCGAAACGATGTTTACACCTTTTACACATTTCCATTTCGCCTATGCTTCTACAACACCACTCCTGATGCTTACATTTTCGCCATCCGGGCCGGCATCCCCGACGACGAAAGCCTTATGCGTTGGGTTTGGGACGCCAACCGCAACGATCCGGTGCACGAAAACGCCACGCTGACGTTCGGTCAGGATGGAAACTTTGTGTTAGCCGACGCGGACGGTCGCGTGGTGTGGCAAACAAACACAACCAATAAAGGTGTCACTGGCATCAAGTTGCTACCAAATGGTAACTTAGTGCTGCATGATAAGAATGGGAAATTCATATGGCAAAGTTTTGATCATCCCACTGATACTTTATTAGCGGGCCAGTCGGTTAAAATCAACGGTGTTAACAAGCTTGTTAGCCGAACTTCTGACATGATCGGCTCCGGTGGACCTTACAGTATAGTTCTTGATCATAAGGGGTTCACCATGTTTGTAAATAATTCAGGTCAGCAACTTATATATGGAGGCTGGCCGGAAACTGATTATGGAAGCATCATAACCTTCGATGTTGTACCTGAGAATGATGAAGCAACCGCATATGAGCTAGTCCTGACTGTAAACCAGGATCAGGCGCCGGCTGCACCGGCACCCGCCAATGGGCGCCGTCTCCTTCAGGTTCGTCCTATAGGTAATGGGGCGCAAATTAACCTCAATAAACTCAATTACAATGCTACATATTCATTCCTGCGGCTTGATTCAGATGGGAATCTAAAGGCCTTCACTTATTATGACAAAGTGAGTTATCTAAAATGGGAAGAGAGTTTTGCATTCTTTTCAAGTTACTTCGTGAGGGAATGTGCATTGCCATCAAAGTGTGGCACATACGGGTTATGTGACAAGAGGATGTGCGTGGCCTGCCCAACCCGAAAGGGGCTGCTGGGATGGAGCGAAAGCTGCATGCCGCCGAAGGTGCCACCGTGCGGGAAAGGGGCTAAGGTTGGTTACTATAAGATTGTGGGGGTGGAGCATTTTCTGAATCCATATTTGAACGACGGAGAGGGGCCAATGAAGGTTGCAGAATGTAGAGACAAATGTAACAAGGATTGCAAGTGTTTGGGATTTTTCTACAAGGAAGATAGTTCAAAATGCTTGCTTGCACCAATGCTTGGAACTCTCATTAAAGATCAGAATACTTCAGTGGGATATATCAAGTATGGAGTGTAAATTTGTTTATGAGAATTAATCCAACCAAATAAAAAAGGATTTTAATGCTTTCTATTAGTATTGTGTACTTCTGAATTTAGGAAAGGTTTTTATTGGAAAAGTTGTATCATGTCAATAATCAAATGCTGAGTACAGCGTACTGGGTAAGTTCTTTTTTAGTCCTATCAAGGTAACTTTGTAGGGCAAACTGACCCTCCCATAAGTATTATTGGATCAGCCAAAGAGCCCAATTGAAGGGCTGGGTTGATTTCAAATGCTACATGTATATGAAAATTATCTTCACTATTATGAGTCTTTGCCCATAAGTTAATCATATCTGTGGCTTAATACTAGTGAGTAGTGACATTAATACTTTTGCTCAATGTTTCTTGATCAACTTTTGCCTCATTATGGACAAAATAGAAAGGCTTTAGCCTTAATTAGAACACTGAACTGAGCATGAGATAAAGTGGAAAATAATCTAAACAAGAGCAGAGGTACAGGATGCTAGCTGAACCGAACAATAAGTCAACTAAAATATTGCCTGGGAAGACAGAAGCATTTAATTTGTGGGTGTGTATAAAAATTCAAAAAACATATAGGATTTGATTGAAAAATACTCGCAGTCTGTTTTCAAGATAAATGCAATAGCAAACATTCATTGCAAANTTGGCGTTCTTTGTTAACCCGAGAGATGACAAGGTTGTGAGTCCCCCACCGGATCTTCTGGCCACCCAAGGCACCAGGCTGTACCCCGACTTCACATGGTCAGATCTGCATCGATTCACGCAATTACAGTACAGAGTTGATAATGATACCCTTGAAAACTTTACCAAATGTTTTCTATCTTCCAAATCACTCAAACCTTGAATTAATTATTAATTTCGCTTTTTTATCTTTTTCATGTATATTGTATTTCCGTAACTAAAGAGTGTGATAAAAAAATTTAGCTCATCATCTATAAGCTAAATGTGTCTTTTGCGCTATGTCTTGTGGGTCCTCCTCGAAAACTGCCTGATTGAGTTATAACTCAGGGCATATATAGATGCATTAATATATGCTTTAATTTTGTGAAATTAATAAAAATGAAGTAACTGCTGCTCTTCTTGCGGCAATATTTTTAATTTGTCGTGCTCTTGTTTATTAGGTGAAAATTACTCATTGCTTCATTCATTTTCTTTTATATCCTTGGATGGGTATGGATTTTCTCTTCTAGCATTTTATTTGGGCACTGATTGATTAGGTGCAAGCACTGACCATTAATTCAGAATATATGAAAACAAAGTTAAATAAATTCTAAGTTCTAACCACATATTTTGATAATTATATACTTATTCCATTTTTGTATAAATATTTTTTAAGTCTCTGTATAGTTTTTAATGAATCAATTTTATCTCTTTTCAAATTTACCTTTTCTTCTAACATTGCAGGTGGGAAAAATTTGTTTTTCCCACTGCATACATGTGTGAAATATTGAAAGAGAGGAAAAAGATGTGTGCCATAGAAAAAAGTTGAGAGAGGAGACCAGGGCAGAGTCAAGTGGCATTGACAAGACTAGAGACGAGGCCATATTTAAACCAAGTATAAACAAAAGTTGATTGGAAATAAGAGTGGAGAGAAGATGTGGGCCATAGAAAAAAAGTTGAGAGAGGAGATTAGGGCAGAGTCAAGTGGCATTGAAAAGACTAGAGACGAGGCGATATTTAAACCAGTATAAACAAAAGTTGATTGGAAATAAGAGTGGGCAATAATACGAGGATGATAACTATCATTCACACTCTTAGATATATTATTCAAGAGATCTTGAGTTTGAATTCTCACAACTATTAATAAAAGGTAACTATTAGAGACTTACCTGACTATTAACTTTAAAATCTCGAAAAAATAATCAAGATATGTATAAATTAATCTAAATACTCTCGAATATCAAAATAATAATAATAATATAAGAATGATAACCACATTAATAATTTGATGCCTTAGAACAGACGGCAGAATGAACAAGATGCTTATATTTGAAGAGAGGGTCCACTTCATATGATGCTCATTGCTGCTTAAAAATACATCACTTGTTGGAAAAGATTGTGTAGCGATTGAGTCCCCTCTAAAAAGGCCTGTCTTCAGTCAGTTTAGCCCATTTTATTACTTCAAGCTTTCATCTCACGCCTTTTGCAGTGCTCCCGTACTTTGATATGACAAAGTGATAATTGTAGCTCGCATGGTTCTAAGTATATAAGGAAGGGCCAACGACATGCGCATACTTATAGTTTACCCTAAAGACAGTTTGATGCCCAAAAGGTTTGAAAATAATGAAGGGTTTGTTTATTTTATTATTTTGGATAGAATTTTGAGAATAATATTAGGTAGTTGAATAAGGGAATATTACGAGATAAAATTTAAAAATTTATAAAAAAAACCCTCTAAGTTTGCTAATTTAATAAACACCCCAATATATAAAAATATTGTAAAATGATAAAAACACCCCTATCACCTGCAGTGCCAGATTCCAGCCACCACCGTCGGAATCTAGCTAGAAAATTGCGTAACGACACATACCGATCGGATCTGATGGATATAGGGTCAATATGGCCTTTTCTGGCCAGATCTACGACTAGATGTGGCCGTCGACGATCGAAAAAGTCCATCTTTGGCCGTCGTTGACCGTCAACAACGACCATTTCTAGCGACGGCCAGATTAGTGAATTACCGGCCATTTTCGGTGGTGGTATAGACCGTTGTGATAGATTCCGGCTACCATCGACGGTGGTTGTCGGAATTTGGCAAGTATTGGTGGGTGGGGGTGTTTTTGTTAATTTTTAAACTTTTTTTGGGGGTATTTAATGAAATTAATAAACTTAAGGGGTCTAAAAGTAATTAAAAAATAGACTAATATTTCTCAAATAATATGCCAAACAATATTTGGGGAATAGGATTGGGAATATGGGTAGAAATAATAAGCCAAATGGAGCTAAAGTTTTGTTAAAATTCCCATCTGTTAAATGACAATACTATTTAAAAAGACTGAAATACCCTTAGAAGTTTGAGATTATAGATTTTTATCTTCACTTTCTTCGTCTCTGTTTTCTTTCATCTCTTTATTTTTGCCTCTTCTTTTCTCTTGGATTTGGCTGGATTTCAAATAGTAAAGGGAAAAATTTTATTGATTATATTTAATTAAAATTGAATTTCCTAAATCCTCTATCACAGGATCTCCTTCTTGTAAAATCAGCCGCACAACCACATCACAGTCCACTCCAATCCCCACCTTCCTCCACCGTTGCAAACTTCTCAAAACCACTAACAAACACATCTTCATAACTGTTGATACGTGATTTCGGACACCAACCAACCGACACGTGGACAACGTTTATTGATCAAGAAGTACACGCGATTTTGAATAAAAAGGAAATAAATGCAATGAAAGTTTTTAAAGTGGTTTGGATGCTAAGGTAGCAAATCCTACATCCACTGATTTGTATTAATATGGTGGGTCAGGTCGCTAAAGCGGACTGACTTACAAATGATTGAAAAATAAAATACAGAGCCTTTTTGAGAGAGAGAGATTCAATGTCAAAATGATCGAATCCCCTTAATGAAGGGGTTGTCTTCTTTTTATACCAAGCTGAATGCGTGTAATCATCACTAAATCCTTGGGCTGGTGTGAATGTCAGAACATAATTAGGCTTTACGTCCCATTACCCACTTCCCAAGCTGATTTTACGCGATTTGGAGCAGGTAAGCGGACACGTGGGAGTTCCATGGTGCATGGCAGGCCTGACGTGTGCTTACCATTCTGACGGGAGCAGGCCACGTCTCGTCACGTGACTCCACGTCAACTCTTTATTTCCCGGGCATAACAGAAGTCCCCTAGTTTTTAAGGTTTGAGGATCGAACCTTGGAAACTAAGTCATGCCGCGATTGGAGATTTTGGTCGTTTTCAACCTAAATGGAAGAAGCTCGATACAGAACATTTTGCGAGCACGACCTCGCACAATTCTTGCCCAAACGGCCTGATAACCATCATTCTAGCGACCTGGATTCGTCGGACACTCTTTTCTATGCCTTGGAGATTAAATGAACATGAATCCACGATGTAGGGCACTCTGCTCGTGCTGTAATGTGTCAGGCGCATTAAATGCGTGGTGTGCTGACTCGACGTCGTATTGACAGCTTTTAACGGCACGACGCATTTGAAACGTCAGCCCTTATTACGGCATTTAATGCGACGTGAGGCGCATTAAATTCGGGGAGGAGAGAGAAGGCTGTCGCTTCGGTTCCGAGAGGTTGCAACCGTCGGTTCATTGCCCATATAAGAACTCGCATTTTTTTTCAGATGAAGCCACTAAAACTCCTTCTGCTTCGCGTGATAAGCCTTTGCAAACCAGAGGTTATTCTTTTCCGATTGGCGCGTCTCAGACATCCGAAACAAGATTCGGCCTTAGTTACGCATCCCAGGAGGTAAGATCCTGTTTCTCCCCCCCTTTTTGTTTGTTTGTTTGGTTGGTGGGCAACGGCGTTGAGTCCCCTGGTGTCCCACCAGTGACGCGCCATTGTTGCCGGACTCGAGCCGTGGGTGGCGGCTCGGGTTACTGTTAGGGTTTAAGGATTTTATCCCATGCCGTCACACGGGACAAAATATGGAGACTAAAATGACCGTGTCTGTCGGTGTTGCAGACTCTGGAATGGAACCGTCAACATCCAGACCCGAGGAAGGAACCAGCTCGTCCACGCGGGAAGTTCCTGCGGACGCGTCCCTTGACGTCTTCTCGGTTCTCACCCGAGAAGAGTTTAATAGGATTAAAAGACAGTATAACGTCCGAGCAGAGGTGTTCCTCGACCACACCCGGTCGTCGCGACATCCTGCTGAGGGCCTTGCTGCGATCTCCAAAGAGATCTTCAAGGGTGGAGGGATGATTCCCTTCCATCCTTTCATCAGGTCGGTCCTGGATCACTTCGGGATCGCATCGATGCAGCTCACACCGAATGCGTATGTCATCGCCGTCGCGATGTAAATCGCGTGCTGCGAAAGCGGCTTGGGCGAGCCAGCGACGGTAGAGCTCGGCGTCGCCTATTATCTCAAAAAGAGTAGGGACAAGGATTCGTATTACTTGTCCCGGTGACCTACCATTGTCGAGGGGATACATAGCTATCCCAGCAACGCGGGAGCCTACGAGACCAAATTCTTCTTTTTCTGCTATGACGGCTACTGCCACTTTCAGATGCCAAGTAGGTTCTTCCTCGTTAGGTATATTATCTGTTCGCATGCTTTATGATAACGACATGTTTCTTCTTTTGCAGTTAATAGAACG